AGAGCTAAATCCACATTTCACCTCAATTTGTATGCATAGAATCATTTTACAACACTACAGTTACATTAAGAGGAGAATCTAGTCCTAATTTCAAAGTAAATTCTAAAATAATCTCTCTTTAACCATGTCCTCCTAGATTTAATAAGTTAATTTTATTTCCTGTTTGCATTTTTAAGGGCTAGTATCTCATTTAAACATTACAAACTTAATTTGGAAATATTCCAGAATATTGATTATTGAATAGGAGCACGTTCTGTGCTTTAGCAAATTTGTAGAAAGCTGCTTTAAAGTGTGGATTAATTGAAGTTCCCCATCAGCCCAATATGGTCCTGAGTCCTTGGGCCAAGGAAATCAGACACTGGGTTTTTTCAGCTGTGCTTTGTGCAGGATGTTTGTGAGCATCCCACTGACTTTGCAGACCTGCAATACAGAACTGGCCCTGGCTATAAAAGAGCCACAGGGAGGCTGATGCTGATGAGAGCAGAATAAACTCAGACCTTGAGACCACAGGTTGTGATGCTGCTGTGGTAGAAGCATATTCTTTCATTTGAATGGTGTGTGTGCAGCGATGGAAAAGCTCTGGAATAGCACTTTTGACTCTCTCTCATTGGGATGAGTCACTCCATAAATGCCACCCCTTCCTTGGGAGTCCTTTTATTTGTCTCTTACCTTTTCAAACTCCTGTGTTTGCTTCATTGTGTGTGACTTGTGCTGCTGCACTGAGTCCCTATTGACCCAGACCACAGCAACCCCCTCATCATCCCCGCAGGGATAACCAGCCCTTGGGGAGCACAGCAGCACTTCCCTGTGTCCTCGAGGTGCATTCACCAGGACACAGCCAACAGGATGCCATGCACGACCACAGCAGGAACATTTCTTCACTGCAGGACTGGTTAAGCACTGGAACAGGGAAGTGATGGAGTCACCATCCCTGGAAGGGTTCAAAAACAAGCAGATGTGGCACTTCATGATGTGGTTTAGTAGGCAAGGGGGTGCTCAGCTGAAAGTTGGACTTGGTGATCTTGGAGGTCTTTTCCAACCTTAGGGATTCTATGATTTGATGATTCTATTTGCAGAGCCTGCAGGAATTAGCCCTCACTTCAGGAAGGAGTTGAGGTTTCAGTGTGGGAGTGGCAATAGAAGGAAAACCCTTGGTGCTGCTCTGAGCAGTCTCCATTGAGGAGAGAATCCCTCCCCTGTCCCAGCACCCTGTGCACACCAGTGTGATTGTGCTTGGGCACCCAGCCTTATTCATTTTTACTGGTGACAGCTCATCTCCAGCCACATTTCCAAAGGTGAAAAAGTGAGGAAGTTAGCACGTTTGCCAGGGAATGTGGACATGTACCTGAAATATGGCAGTTTCCTTCAATGTAGCATCTCCCATGAGAACAGGGGCTGTTTCAGCCTCATCCCTCACGGTATTGACATCCCCACATGCAGCTAAGGGGAGCATTTGTACCTCCCTGACATCACCTCTCTCAGGTTGCTTTCCTTATTGATGGTCTGGTTAAAGTCTCTGTATCATTTTGACATTTTTAATGGCATCTGCATTTACAGCAGAGCGCTCGTGTGAGCTTTAATCAGCTCTCTGTTCACACGTTGTTGCTGTTATTATTTATCTCTATTGCAGTAACTCACTGAGGCAATCAACAAGAGCAGGATCAGGCTGTGCTAGGCTGGGGCTGGGGTTTAAAATGGTCTCTCCTCATCCATGGGAGACCTTGCTGATGGTCCCAAAGTGCAGCAGGATCCCGTGGCTCTGAGCCTGCTCTGCTCTCTGTCTCTGTCCCAGAACCTGGAGTCACTGTCATACACCACCAGGATTTGTCCCACTGGTGTATAGAGAAAAAATACCTTTTGGTTGCTGAAGTCTTTTGTTTCTTCTGTTTTGCAATTCTCTACCAGGAGCTACTGGATCCCAGTCCTGTAGCCACTTACACACTCAATTAGTCTCACACCTGAGCGAGCCTGCTGCGCTCAGTGGAGTTAATTGTATGAATAAGTACCTGGATTTCAGCTTATCATCCCTCTATCTACCTTGGTAAAGGTACAGAAGTGCCCACAGTGCAGATCTCAGAGTTATCATTATATCATTATATAAATATCACATCGTGTTCCAATGAAATGACTCCACAGTCGTTGGACTCACTGCAATATGGGACTTAGAGGAAAGGGGAAAGAAAACCAACAAAAAAAAAACCAAGACAAGGAAATAAACAGGACCAAATACTGCTTGTAAATAAGTGTTCCAACAGGATGGGCTTACAGAAAAGGAGCTGTGTTTGGGGCAGGCACTGTACAGTTGAAACAAGATGCTTGAACTAATGATGGGAAATGATTAATCCCTTCCTACAAATGGTTTTCTTTTTCCTTCACTTCCCTTCAAAGTGAAAAACACAAACCCAGCAGACAAGTCGGATGCTTGGAGCACCCACCTGAGACACGAAAGAGCAAGGATAGAATCATATCTTGTAATGAGTGTTATTTATTCATATTAGGGAAATTAATTGCAACTGGAGCTGTATCAGCTCAGAAGAAGCCACAGTCTGCAGCTGGGGCTCTGATGTGAGGTGTGGGAAGCAGGAATCAATCCCCAGAGCACGCAGGGTGCAGTTTGATCCCTGAACTCCACTTTCCTGTGCTGAGGGACATCAGCTGTGCTTGTGTGCTTCAGGTTTGTGTTCTTTATGGAGGTGCAGAACTGCATCCCTTGATGTTCAAGTTGTGCAGAAAACAAATCAGTGTTTCTGGAATGGAAATTGCTGGGGAACTCCAGCAGCTCCAGCAGCTTTGCTCCCTGCCCCAGAAGGCTCACACAGCCTTAGCAAGTGTCTATGTGAAATAAAGATAGATCATCTCTTCCCACAGATTCTCAGTAATAATTTAAGTCTTATAAAGAGTAAGATTTTGTTTGCTTGGCTCCCAGTGGTGTTAGAGAGGAGCTATCATCCCTGCTTACAGCCGGGGGGAAGTGAGGCAAAGCAATAAAGGAGCTGGGGTGAGGCACGAGTGGGATTGTGCACAGGGGGACGTGGTGTGCTCTGCTCTCTGCAGGACATGAAACCTCTGCACCTGTATCCTCTAACACCCTGCAGATCTTTTGGAGACCTTGGAATTGTCTTCTGGGGGTTTATTTCAGCTTTTAACAACACAAATTTGTAAACTGATAATCAGCAGTTCAAATTAACTAAGAGCTGTCCTCTTTTTCTGTTGGATAGCCTCACACTGACCAATGAGTATCCTCCTTCTCAAAATGAAGGTTAATAAATAAAAATATTGCCAAAATTAATGGATAGAGGCAGTTTTGCAGTGTGAGTTTATAGCCAAATACTGTAGAAGAAAAGGGCTATGAAATTTCTAGGACAAAAGCACCAGGCTTAAGTGAGCTTTACATTTACCTGGCTAATCCTAGAAACAGATCCAGGGCTGAGAGGCAGCCTGTGTCACCTGGGATTAGTTTCCATGTTTGCAAATAAAAGAGTTTGTGAAGACAGCCCTGTTGCTGGGATTCCACTCTCCTCTCCAGCCTGGCAGTGGGATTTACACCACCCGTAGGAGGGTTGGTGGTGAAATTGAAACCAGCTCTGAGCACAGCCAGCTGTGCCTGGAAAGCCATCAATAACTGTGTCCTTCCCAGTAGCCTGTTCTGAACAGGATGAGGATTTTCTTCATCCTTGCCACAGCTATGGTGAAAGGCTGCTGAGTGGAGGGTAAGACTCCTGAAGAAATCCTTGTTTTCTTGCAGACTTTTTGCTGAGGAAACCTTGACCTCAGGTGTTTGCTTGAGCTCTGTTCAGTGCATGCAGCTCAAAGAGGTGTTGTACAGGTCCTGTTTCAAAAGCAAATCAGGACAAACTGTTCCTGTAGGGCTTCTTCCCTCTCCCCTCCTCCACATGCTCTTCAAAAGAGAGGGGATGTGGCAGGATTGTCACATGAGGGGTCTCCCTGTGCCTTAATGCATTCTATAGGGAACCTCCTCTCCATGTCAGTGGCCAGAGGGTTTGGGCTCCTTCTGTGTTGCTGTTATTAGCACAGGAATTACCTGATATATTCACTCCATACCTTCATCCCTGAGCCTGGGCAGCCTCAGGACATCCTGTCTCCAGTGCTATTTTATTTCCTCACATCTATTTAGTCCAGACAACAAAAGTAAATAAATAAATAAATACATATATAAATCAGAAAACAACACCAAGGAGAAAGCTTTCTTTAGATTATCTTGTATGTTATCTTATGGGAACATAACAAAGAAACAATATTTGATGACATGATTAAATCGACAGGATTTGCTTGGCAACACCACCTGCCATTAAGTGCACTGCAGGCAGGATGTGACCCTCTGCATCTAATTCCACTATAAATTCATTCCTTCCAGCAATCTAAAAGCACTAAGAAACAGGATATTAAAAGATTTCAGGCCTGATCCAATAAGATGTTAAACAAGTCCTCAACTTTAGGTATAAAAGTGGTCCCATTGTGTCCTTGCACCCTAAAGCTGAGCCTGGGGGGAAGATGCTGAACCTGGGTCTGGGGGAAGATGCTGAACCTGGGTCTGGGGGAAGATGCTGAACCTGGGTCTGAGGGAAGATGCTGACCCTGGGTCTGGGGGGAAGATGCTGAAGATGGGTCTGGGGGAAGATGCTGAACCTGGGTCTGAGGGAAGATGCTGACCCTGGGTCTGGGGGGAAGATGCTGAAGATGGGTCTGGGGGAAGATGCTGAACCTGGGTCTGAGGGAAGATGCTGACCCTGGGTCTGGGGGGAAGATGCTGAAGATGGGTCTGGGGGATGATGCTGAACTTGGGTCTGGGGGCAGATGCTGAAGCTGGGTTTGGGGGAAGATGCTGAAGCTGGGGCGGGTCGGCGGGCAGATGTTAAAGCCGGGTCGGGGGGCAGTTAGGGAGCAGGGGCTCCTTTGGAAGGCTCTGGCCGAGGTGCACACGGGGCTGTGGGGTGAGGCAGCCCCGTGTGCCCCGTGGGTAACTCCGTGTCCGTTCGCAGGCTGTGACAGCGAGCACTGGGGGCCTCACTGCAGCAACCGCTGCCAGTGCCAGAACGAAGCGCTCTGCAACCCCATCACCGGCGCCTGCGTGTGCGCCGACGGCTTCCGCGGCTGGCGCTGCGAGGAGCTCTGCGAGCCGGGCACCTACGGCAAGGGCTGCCACTTCCAGTGCCAGTGCCACCACGGGGCCACCTGCGACCACCAGACCGGCGAGTGCCACTGCGCGCCCGGCTACACCGGCGTGTTGTAAGTGCGGCAGGACTGCCTTGAACTTTGGGGCGGCCGCGTTTAACCGAGGAGTAATTGGATGAGTTTACACCCTGTTATACACCGGCCCTTGGAGAAATCAGGGAATGGGATTTCAGAGATGGAATAAAGGGAATGTCTGTTCTTGCTGCTGGTTATACCTGTGTCCCTGAAGGGAGCCGTCAAGAGAGCTGGAGAGGGACTTAGGACAAGGGTGTGTAGCGATAGAACAAGGGATGATGGCTTTAAATAGGGATACATGGGATATTGGAAAGGAGTTCTTCCCTGTGAGGGTGGGGAGGCTCTGGCTGCCCCTGGATCCCTGAAGAGAACAAAGGATGATGGCTTTAAATAGGGATAAATGGGATATTGGAAAGGAATTCTTCCCTTTGAGGGTGGGGAGGCCCTGACACAGAGTGCCCAGAGAAGCTGTGGCTGCCCCTGGATCCCTGAAAGTGTCCAAAGCCAGGTTGGATGGGGTTCAGAGCACCCTGGGATAGAGGAAGGTGCCCTGCCCACGGCAGGGAGTTGGATCTGGCTTCATTGTCTCTTCCAACCCAAACCATTCTGGAGTTCTATGATTCCATGCTATTAAAATAAAACATAGTGCTAAAATAAGCTTAAAAATAATTTATATGTTCCAACTTGTGCAACAACTCTACCTGTTCCTAATTTCAGAATGTGAACACAATCCAAATTACGGTGGAGTTTTGATAAGCACTTGGACTCTCTCCTCATTAGCAGTCCAGTGCAGCATCAAATGGGACTTTTCCATCCCCAATTTATTTGGCTTTCAATCTAACTGAGAAAACGTTGCTGTTAACTATATCAGCTTAGTATCTAGGGGGTAAATTTTAAGCACAGGGAGCAGGGATTTAGCGGTGTGACTCCTATTAACTTTAACGAGAATCATGTAGCTAAATCCCAATCCACCACACGGAAAGTTTACCAGTAGGATTCACAAAATCTGCGTATTAATTTTAGGACAGCAAGCAATAGTTTCTTGTTTAAAATTGCCCACAGTGTAACATCAGTTCTCATTAGAGATCTTTCAGTAGCTTCAGAAGTAATTATGTTTTTCAGAATTATTTAAGGGGAAAAGAGAATTTAGTCACTGAATTTGGTTGGAGATCTATTGTAGGTGAGTTAATACTTTTGCATTAAGTCTATTATTATTTGTTGACCTGCATGAAGGGGAAGGTAAAAAATAAGGGCAGAGTTAACCCTCATAAATAAGTGATAGGCCTTGTGAATATTTTATTTAGTACCTGATCTCCTCCTAGACTTGTGACCTTAGTTGTGGAAGCACTCACTGCTAAGGACTCTGCTTACTCTTGGGAGTGCTCCCCTTGACATCAGCATGTCAGCTCTCAGCAGGGCCAGCCCCTGCTGTTGTAGGAACATCCTCATCAGAGGACAGTCAGCTGGGGGACAGCACCCTGTAGTTTCAGAACCTCGATGCTGAAAGCTCTGATGTGCAGATGTAGGAGACACTGGGTTTTGCAGGGATTACCCCCACATTGCCCCCCATGAGTACTGAGAGAGACTCAATGAGCTTAAATAGCCTTTAAATGATGTTCAGTCCTTGCCAGTCCATTATACACTGCAAATGTTAACATTCAGCAGTGACTGGAGGAGTTTCAAGCATTTTAATCCCATCCTTTTATTCTGTTTGCAGCTTCTTTTATTGCTATGTCATATAATTCACATTGAAGGCTTCATCCTGCAACTCATATTTTCCTGAGCTATTTTGATAGTTATGGGTTGTCCTGTTGAGATGGGTGGGATTTGGTACATGGATCCAGGGCTGGAACCATGGCACACAAACACCCCAGCAGAAATAAAAGAATTCTCAGCTAATTGGCAGTGCCAGCTGAGCCTTACTGAGGTTTCATCATTTGCATGATGGCTCCCATGATGACCTGTGTTGTGTGCTTTCCTCATTTGCTGTTCCCTGTGAGTTGTGTGAGCTGATCTCTGTGTTTCCTGCTGTTCTCTCTCCCCAAAGCTGCGAGGAGCTGTGTCCCCCCGGCAGCCACGGGGCGCAGTGCGAGCTGCGCTGCCCCTGCCAGAACGGGGGAGTTTGTCACCACATCACTGGGGAGTGCTCCTGTCCTGCTGGATGGATGGTGGGTACTGCTGCTCCTCACTCGGGGCCTGGGTGTTCATTGTTCACTGTCTCAGCTGATGTGTGCCAGCCAGGCTCTAACAGTTCCCAAGCTGGAGCCACATTTGCTGGGTGTGCACAGCACCTGCACAGACAGACCACCACTTTGGGACCTGCCACCTTCCCTGGAAGTGTTCCAGAAATGTGTGGGGGTGGCACCTGGGGACAGGGGTTAGTGGTGGGCTTGGCAGTGCCGGGGGGAATGGTTGGACCTGATCATCTTGGGGGCTTTTCCAGCCTCTGTGGTTCTGTGATTCTCTGACTGGTACGTGCCCTCACAGAGTTTAAAAACAAGAGGATGCCATGATAACAAGAGAGTTATCTGTGAATTCCAGTTCCTTGGAATATTCCCTGCAGCCTTAGTGCCCTCACACAGAACAGAAAGCTCAAGGCCCAGCTCAGCACTGTCAGAGGCACAAAGTCTCCTGTTCCCCTTCAGGGAGAGGGGGAAGCCAGGGGGAATCGAGGCTCAGGCAGGCAGCAGAGCTGAGCCCAGGGCACAGCTCGGTGTCGTGTCCTTGCCCAGGCACCACTGCCATTGATTGCCAGAGATTTGCTTGTGTCAGGACTTGCAGTGCAGAGAGACAGCTGCCCTAACCTTTAATCCTTTGTGTCAGGAAAGCAATGCCAAGCATTTTCAAAGTCCTCAACTTTATCAATAATGTAATAATGAACTCTCTTGGGGCATGCCAAGTCTCACAGGCCTTCATCCCATTTAGCTGTACTAAACTTCCTGGCACTTTTCCTGTATCTGACAATTAGTCTCTTGGCAAAGTTGCTGGATTTTAAAGCATGCAAGTACTCTGAACTTTTTATTTTTACATGGAAAGCCCTGCAGTCACACAACTGTGACTTCTAAAGGGGACCCTCTCCCTGTTCAAACGTACAAAAGCTGAGAGAGGTTTGTGTTCCTTTCCATTTATACATCAACTGCTTTGAGTTCAGAAGTACCAGCTCCGAGATGCTGCTGTACATCAGCAACAGTAGGAGAACATTGCTGTCCTTAATTTTTGGTGGAAAATATCTCTAACTAGAGAGCTGGAATCTCTCTAACACCACCCATCATGGCATGGGCGGTGATGAGGTTATTCCATTTCAAATGACAAAGGCAAAACTTGTCAGAAGTATGAATATGGCCCCTTGCCCTCACCTGGCAATCAGTGGTGGCAAAGAAAAGATTCTTTCCTTGAGTGCTGGAGCATTAGGAAAGTAATTCACATATTTCTGAGGGCCTATCAGTCCATTCTGGCACTCCCTCCTAAGAAGTAATCAATAAAGTGATTCACATAAAAATATTACTTTTTTCAACTCTCCTCCTGCATGCCAAGATTTCTCAGGATCTAGGGTGCTTTGCTGTATTATTCCTTGCTTGTATTTTATCAGGAGTTTTCTTTTTCAAAATTAAAACATGACAAAAAAAATAAGAATATCAGAATAGAAGAGGAATTTTTAGATGTCTTTTAGGATGCAGCACAGACCCTAAGAAGAACCAGAGCACTGCACAGCAGCTGTGGTTGTATTCTGGCCCAGTCCTGCCCAATTCCTTACAGCCTGGAGTTCTTTTATGCATTTTTAGGAGCCCAGAGAGACTTTTCTGAAAACTGTGTTGTTGGCTGCTCTGTCCCTGGAGGAACCCTAGAGTTAACAATTGATGTTTGAAACAAGCATAACTGAAAATTGAAGAGAAAGATCAAGTATTCTGCAGAAAGAAACTGAAATTATAAGTAAAAGCACTCAGCTTGTAAATGTTGAGATTTTAAGTATAAAGAGTCTCTCCAGGGTTTTAATGAAAAGCTGGTAATTCAATGTACAGAGAGGGATAACAAGTGTCTTTTCACGCTATATTTTTAACTCTTGGTGGTTGGAATGGTTTGGGAAGTGAGACATGAGGGGGCTGTAAAGGAGCAGGCGAGATGGGATTGCTAGACAGCATTCATTTTATTTCACACCACGGATTTCTGTGACACCAGGAATTTTACTTGCTGATTTCGAGGCTTGAGACTGCACATATATATTGAATATACCATCACTTTGGAAGGAGAGAATTCTCCCTAGATTTATACAAGTGCAAATCCACTTGGAGTTTATTGCTGCTGGATGAGCTGCAACTTTTATCCTTTCCTAGGTTGGCTTATTAACATGAGCTCAGCTCCCTTGGGGTTTGGTGGGATGGAGAAGGGGAGGCAGTGACTTTAAAAGGAGGAAGTTCTGGGGTTCTGAGGTTCTTCCTTGGATCTGCCATCTTCAAAGCCTGGTTCTTTTATGACTTGTAATTTCTTTCCTCCCACCAGTGCTGAATCTCTCAGCACCAGGAGTTCTTTGGATGGTGTCCTGTGGGACTTTACTGCCCCATGGGTTTTTCACCAGGAGGATGTTGGCCAACAGCCTCTATTGTTGAACAGTCAACAGAACGTGGCTTCCAGCATCCACAATGTTGGGCTTTTTCCACTTCTGTGCCTTGGTGGCTGTGGAGTTTAGTGGGTGGCTGCTTTAGGGCCTCATTAACAATTTACAGGTTTAATTCTATACATCTTTCTCATTTGCAATATTAAATTCTCCAAGCGCTCTCAGGAAGTGGGGAGAGAAGTTAATTTAGCATTTACAATGCTTCTCAGAAGCCCTTTTGAAGGACTAGATCTCTGTGCTCAGGAAAGCAGCAATATTTCCTGATGTGACAGAATGTTTGTCACTGGCAACGCCCCCTGTTTGGCCCCAGACCCCCTTCCCAAGGCACTGTGGTGCTGTGGCAATACAGCACATTCTGCTCATCACTTCTCTCCTATTGATTCTGGCCATTGTGAAGCATCATTTGTATTTTTGTCTATTTTTCTTTCTGTTGTAGATTTTAAACGTGGGGGTGTTTGAGAAAATGGAGGAGGAAAAAAAAATCTTTTCTGTCCTACAAAATACAGCAAACAATGTCAAAAGCAGAAGCTGATGAGACCAGGGCCTTGAAAAAGGTGCTGATGGGGTGAACTTTGCTGATTAGATGTATAAGCAGCAGGAAATGTTGGTCTGACATTTGATCCTCTAGAGAGGGATGTTTTGAATTCCCTTAGTACATATTAATGCAAAAAGTACAGCTAAAGATTCTCTTGGCTCCGGGGGGATGCATCCCAGAGTATTGCTTTCTCATCATTTGTTGATAGAAATCCTGTTCCTTTTGAGATATGAAGGGAGAAAGTATTTATTATCAAGATAAATGGACACTTAGGTTTTCAGATATATAGTGTTGTGTATTACTCAAGTCCAGAGACACCAGTTTTTAACTCTGTAATCTGAAAGTTCTTGAACTGAGGCCAACCTGTCTGTTTTACAGCCAAGGAGCCACATAGCCCTGGTTGGGAAAGGCTCAAAGTGTCTGTTTTATAGTGACATTGAAGAGCAGCCTCTTCACTTTGTGGCTGTTGATACAGCTAAACTTCCCAAGCCCTGAGGAGTGAAAGCAGCCATTATATTCCTGGTTTATATTTTGAATAAGTTGTATCTCATACATGATTTGTTCAAAACCCAGAGGCCCCAGGGCTTGGTTAGGGAAACAGGGAAATTAAACCCAAATAATCCTGTGGCCAGACACTGTTTCTGTCTCACACTGGGCACTGTGGTGGCACTGGCAGCAGCACCACTTGCTGCAGATGCCAAACATTTTCCATTATAGGACCACAACTTCAGATCCCAGCACTGCCAGACTTGTTTTGGCTCAAGTTCCTCAGTTGGATGCCAGCCTCAGGCTTTATATTTGCTTACAGGGAGAAAAACATTCATACAACTTCTAAGAAAGTCTGGGGAAATCCTTGTAAGGCCTTGGTACTTGGCAGGGACATTATGGGATACCTGGGGGAAGCCACCTGAGTCTGGCAGGTGTCTTTCTCCAAAGACATGACCCCACACAAGGGGGGGCATTCCCTGCCCCGGGGCTGAGCAGCTGGAGCAGGGATTACCTGGGAGCTGCTTTTCTTGTGAGCAGTGCCAGGGACACAGCAGGGACAGCCTGGCTTTGCTTCACTCCCAGGGCTGGTTAAGCAGGGAGAGGAAGGAGGAAACATCTCAGAGATGGGCATTTGGGTCTGGGTGGAGGAGAGGATTAACAGGGAGGCTGCATCTGGGATTTGGAATAGACTGGAATAAAGAGGTAGGAAAGCAGAGGACTGGGATAAAATAGGATGTGGAATTGAGGCAGGTCAAGGATTGAGATGTGGCTTCAGGGTTGGGGATAAGGAGCTGGGTGGGTGCTGGATGCTGCATCCTGTCACTGTTTAGGGATTAGGTAGATATTCCACTGCAAAATTCCTGTGGCTTTCCCAGAGCTCTGGAAGATCCATTCTGTGCTGCTTTGAGAGATAGATGTGTGGCTGGAGAGAGCAGAGGGAGCAGACTGAAGGGTGTGAAAGGCAGTAGAGGAGTCTCCAGCCTCCAGTTGAGCTGGATGAATGAGACTGGCTGAACAGGAGAGATCATCACAGACCATCAAATCCAGCACAGCTACAGCCTCCCAGTGCAAACCTTCCAACAATCCCTTCCTTCCCAAACCTTCTCTGTGCAGCAGGTGGCCAACAGCTTTTCAGACTCCCCATTTCACAAAAACCCCAGGAGCACCCAAGCAGCTTTGCAGACTTCTCTGGTTGCCTTCAACTTCTCCCACATCTTCATGTGGCTGTTCAGGGGGCAGTGCAAACCAGCTGCAGTTTGTGGGGGAGATCCAAGGAAGAGAATTACCCATGAGTGTGCAGTGGTGAGAAAAATCCCTTCTGGAGTCAGGCCAGGCAGGCATTTACTGTGGTGGCAGAGTTTTCAGACTGTCTTTAGCACATCTTATGCAGATAAAATATTGCTGCTACACTTACATCTAGTTTTAGCAAGAAGGACAATAAAATTCCAAGCTGCATAGAGAAATTTATTGCATTATGAATGTTGACTGAAATATTGCTCTTTCTACAACCTTACCAGGGGCTGGTGTGTGCACAGCCTTGTCCTCCTGGAACCTTTGGAATTAACTGCAGCCAGGACTGTCCATGCCACAACGGAGGGCACTGTGACCCCGTGACAGGAAAATGCCTGTGTACAGCTGGCTATATAGGAGACAGGTAAAAATCAACCCCCACAGCCTTTCATTTTAACCATGGACTGTCAATATTTATGTCCCTTCTAGGACAATCTTCCTCCCTGAAAAATGGTGTTATGTTTCTATTGCTCCAATTAGGTTCATCCTTCTGAAGCACTTCAAGCAATATAAATGTGGCAATGTTATTACTTTTTATTGGCAATGCTCTCCATTTACAGGGGTTTTTAATATAACTTTTAAAATTTAATGGATTAAATTTAATTTAGATATTTACAGTGATAAATTTAATAGAGAGCATTACATGTTTACAAGATATGTAAATGAACTATCTTTATACAAATTAATATCCTCAAGAGTAAGCAATGCTGCAGTTTAATGTCTCCTTCATTCTTCTGTGCTGCTGTAGCACTGATCCATCTCAGCCACCAGCAAAAGGTGATAAATCCTCAAAATTTATAAACGAGAGCCTTCACCCATGAATCGATCAGAGCAGATGATAATATTGTTTTACCAAGGTGTCAGGGATTCAGCAAAATGACTACACAGCAAAGTCAATGAGGGATTGCAGCACGTGCTGGCTTAGCCTGCAGCTAATCCTGGCTCACAAAGGTTGGGCAGTGCAGTTAAAGCAGTTCTCAGGAGCACTTTGCATGGGGCCTGTGGCACCAGGGTTTGCAGAGATGCACAGCTCACCAGTGGATGTTGTGCTAAAGCACTTTCTCCTCCCTATTCCTTTTTTTATTAGCTCTATACTGACATATGCTACAATTATATTTTTATGCAACAAAGCTCATTGGAATTTCTCATCTCTGCCCTCACTGAATAATCAGCAGGTCGTTGGAGCACAAACATCCAGCCCTCAGCCCTTGGGAGGGTCAGAAGGCTGCTCCTTCCCATTACATATGGAGCTTCCCTGTTTCCATTTTATGGACAGTTCTAATTGGAGGGGGCTCTGGAGTTTATGTCAGGATTTGCATGGGGTTGAATATGGAGGAAATACTAATTATTTCCAAGAAATTTAGATGAGAAGACATCAGTGTGCCTCTCTTTCCCATTCTCCATCTGGAGACTGTTTCCAGAAATGTGGTACCACATAATTCCTGTTTCTCTTTCTCTCTTTGTGGAGACTTTTGCACTGCCCACTGCAGCTGTGCAGCCTGGGCCTTTATAGTGGGGACACTCTTGAATCCTGAGCTGCTCCCAGTGCTGGCCATGCTGGGGGAGGCTGACAGAGCCTCTCTTGCTCTCCTCATTTGGTTGTTGCCCACCCTGATGGATTCCTGGCCGTAGATGGATCAATCCAATCAAGTGTTGGAGCTGTTGGGAGCTCCCAGCCAGCAGCCTGCATCCTGTTGGGGATCAGGAAAGGAGATGGGAAGAGGATTTGACTGCTGATTGCCCTTGGAGAGGGCAGCTCAGGGAAGGCATGGCAGGAGCTCACAGGGGTTTTCCTTGAGCAAAGAGAGTGTGGACTCAGGAGGTCTGTGCTTGGAGAAAAGTGAGAGAAATTCAGACTCCAAAGAGAGATGTAAGTTGGAAGGGAGACAGTAAAAAAATAAAGCAGAATCAATTGGGAGAAGTAGAAAAGAAGTGAGGGAAGGTAACATTCTGGACCTGCATCCAAGCAAAACCCTTGGGAATGGCTTACCTTCCCCATCCCAGAGCAGGGAAGTAAAAGACACTGAGAAGAGAGGCAGGAGAGCAGAAATGCAGGTGTGTGAAAGGATGAATGAGAACAAGATTGAAAAGGTAAACAGGCAGTTAGGAAAGCTCTGCTGCAGCAAGATTGAAAAGGTAAACAGGCAGTTAGGAAAGCTCTGCTGCAGCAAGGTAAAACTGGATTAGCCTAGAAATTCCCACCTTTCCAACGGGTTCCTGGAAAGTTAGAACATGCTCATCTGTAGCCTTTAATCCCCCTCCATAAAGGAGGGGAAACCTCAGGTCTGTTGTAACCAGCTGCAGTTCTGCAGCTGGCTTGGGCTGGGCAGCCCTGCGAAAGTTAGAACATGTTCATCTCTCAGCCTTTAATCCCCCTTCCATAAGGGAGGGGAAACCTCAGGTCTGTTGTAACCAGCTGCAGTTCTGCAGCTGGCTTGGGCTGGGCAGCCCTGGTTGGTACTGGTTGTACTGGTTTGTTCTGAGCACACAGCTGCCTCACCTGCCTGGGGACCCACTGATTTCAGTGAGGGATGAGGTCTTTAAAGAGTCTGAGTGGCTTTCCTTGGTTTTGTGTTCACACACAGGGACAATGGGACAGACCAGGCAGCTCCAGCTTAGCTCAGAGTCTGTTTTACCCTCTGCATCTCCTGCAGCTGTTGCACTGTCACAGCAAAGAGGAGAGCAGGAGAATCTGCTGCACAACAAAACACTGCCTGCTTTAACGTTTTACAAGGCATTGAAAAAAATCTTAATAATGACAGATGCTGTGAATAACAGCAATAAAGACATAAATACATTTTACCTACTATCATCTTAAAATTGTCAATAACTACTATATAATGCTACAGTTCATCATCATGTGCAGAAGATAATAACACACAGTTAGATAAATATCTGTGGAGATGAAATGGTCATAAAGGTCTGTGTGAATGTAATTGCCACACTTTTGTTCCCTACCTGTTTTCCAAGAGTGGCACTGCACTAAATCTCTAGGAAATTGGCAGCACTGTTAATAACTGCAGGATGCTTTGTGTTCACTGAAATGACTGGATCTGTCATGGAAATGTGTGTTTTACAAACTGGAAAGGAATAATAGCAGAGGCACAGTTAGAAACTGAGAATGGAGTGTTTCAGAATTGAGTGGCTCACAGGAAAAGTGAACATGCTGGTTTAGCTTTGTTTTCCATATTGCCCTTAAATCGAAAGATTGAATCTTAACAGAATAAATCTCACATTTATTAGAACTGTATGGGCAGATTTACTCTCCTGTTGTTGTGTTTGTACACGTATCTCTTATCTCCAGGTTAGTGCATTTTGGATGGCTTTTCATATTTGTCTGTGCTACATAAACGTGATCACTGTTTCAAAACAAAGAGGGCAACCTAAAAAACTTTGCAGCATTATTCCTTAAAAAAAGAAAATTATGGGGAAAAGTGTAGGAGCATGTACTAAGTTCATCTGTTAAGCATGCTGTCTTCTGTTTAATATTTTGTGAAATTGCTTCCATTAATTCTACAGGTGACAGCCATATTATCCTATCCCAACCCAAATAATTATGGTACATATTAAAGTTCAGTGGATATTATAATACGAAGCTCCCCAGATAGGCAGAAAGCAATGTAAATTAAACAAGAAACATAACTAGGGCTTAGCAGCTCATTTTGTAATTTAATTGAACAATGTATCTGGTTGTTAATGGTGCTATGGACACATTAGATTGATATGTTGCAAAGGAAAGATGTTTAAGTAGAAAGCTAATTCCTGCTGTGATTATTCTCATGTTCCAGAGGAGTCATTATTAGTATTCTTTGTATAAAATTCATTAGCGGTAGCTGCTTGATCTCCAAATAAATAAGTTGGTTAAATTGTTAGTAGAAAAAGGCTAATTATGTAAATGGATTAGGTCGTCAATATTTCATTTCCAGATGCTTTTCTCCCTGCTAGGTAATGCTTCATCTTCTATAAATATAGAATGATACAGTGCACTATTGACTGAGAATTCACCCCGTGGAGCTCAGAGCTCTCCTGCTCACTCGGGGTCTGTGCAGCAGTGGGGACATGAGGAGCTTCATTGTTCCTCCTTGCATTTCATTTGCTGCGAGTGTTTCAGCCCCACTGTTCCCATTCTTTGCTGGCTCTTTCCTTTGCAGCTGAGCCCCCTGAGAGCAGCAGGGCTCTCTCTCTCTCTGGTGCCTCTCCAGACTCTTTGCCTCTTTGTCCCAAGCTCCTCTCACTTTGGGTCTCACATGAACTCCTCAACTCGGATTTGCAACCAGCATCTGTGTCGGTGCCTGCTGGAATTAAATCACCAGCCAGGCCCTTTGCTGTGTTCATTTATTTTTAGTAAAACGTGATAATCTGAAGCTGCAAAAGTAATGCCCTTCTTATATACTGCCTGTGTTCATTGCAGTTTTGCCTGGCTTGCATCACACATTAATCTTTTATTACTGATCATTATATTAACTCTCACCTGCCAGCTGTGAAATGACCTGCAGAAAGACATTTAACAATTGCCTCCATCCACTGAGTTTACAGTATACACTTTAATCAATGCTCAGGCTTAAATTAATGCTGATAGGCAATTTCTAATGCCTGGCATCCATGTGATAAGGGAATTGGGCTTTTCTGGACTTCTTTTTCTGTTTTTATTAACTGAAAAGGCCTATCTGTATTTCACGGTGGATCATGTAAACTGTGGTACTGACTCATTGCAGAATTCTGAAACCACTGAATTATGTCAAGCACACAATCAGTTGCTTTCTTCAGGACCTTAGCTGAGCTTTTCCAAGTAGGAAATAATCTGAACTCTTAAATTGGTTGTGTAGGACAAGGAAACAGACTTTTTGGCAGATCTCAGAATGTATCCGAGTAGGGAGATATTTTTAACAGTGCATGGAAGGTGCAATTTAAAACAATCTGTGTAAAGTGTTTGTAGGTTCCAATTTTATGTGCATCAAATATTAAAAATGTTGGCAATTTTTAAGAAGATTCTCCATTAAGGAGCATGAAAGTAATTTTTATGGAGATTTTCTACTACTGAGCTACCCTGGAGTAGGAGAAGAAAAGCAAATTTAAGCTTTTAGTTACTCAGAACACACACAAAACACAAAGGGGTTTCTTGTCTCCTTGTTGGTATAAAACTCATGCAATGTCAACAAAGAGGGCAAGTAAAACTAAAACGTTGGTAGAGAACATTTTGCTCAATATTGTTAAAGACACTTTCCCTTTTAACCCTCCTCATCACTGAGAGGGCCATGTGCTTTCAAGGGAGCTGCACAGTCCTCCTGTGATAAAGAGAAGTAAAACAGGTGAGGGGTTTTATAATAAATATTTTATTGCCTATCAGTTCCTTACAATTGGTGAACACAATTGTCAAGGTCCAGGAAAGAAGAATGCATTTTGTGAATGAAGGTAATATGAGCTATTGCAAATTTAGCAGGCTATAATTGGGCATGGATGAATGCAGTTTCTCTCAGCAGCAATCTGCATGCCCAGGACATCCCATCACTCCGGTGATACCGTTCAGTGTTACTTCAACAAATGAGCAGGGATTGCTCTGGTTGGTACTTAATTCATTAACCAAGAGGTTCCTGTGTAAAAGCAATGTCCTGCAGAGGTTGTGGCTGTCATGGTCCCATGTCCCATGCCATGGCAGGTGCCAGGAGGAGTGTCCCATCGGCACCTACGGCTTCCAGTGCGCGCAGACCTGCGCCTGCCAGAACGGGGCCAAGTGCTACCACGTCAACGGCGCCTGCATCTGTGACCCTGGCTTCAAAGGCATCCACTGCCAGGAAAGAATGTGTCCTGAAGGGTTCTATGGCCTCAAGTGCAACAAGAGATGCCCCTGCAATGTTACCAACACCCTCAGGTATGTGTATCCTGTAATATTCTAGTGCAGGGACTGGGACAATAAAAACATTGGGAAAAAATCCAGCTAACTACACCTACTGTCCTTTCCTCTGTAGTTTTAAGGACAAACACAGAGAGTTTCTCTGGTTTGCAACATTTTTATTTAAATTACCTCAGATTTGGAACCGTAATCCTTAGTCCAGCCAGATCCTAAGCATGTGTCTATTTACAGTTCTGGTAACACCTGAAACAGCCTGACATACAGCTTTATCCTGTAAACCCTCATAAGAACCACCAGATGATGCTCATATGTGTGGATAATAACCCACTGAATTTACTCAAATCCATCACTTTCCCTCTTTTTTATGACATGGGTTTGCTTGTTAGATCTATAGACAGCAAGGGGACTTTCAACATGAAACCTAATTTGCTTCAGCTGATGTCTCATGGCAAATTACCTTGTTGGAAACACTTGGGGCTGATGTATAAATAGACTGAAATCAATATCCCTGAATCAGTCTGTGGAACTGTAACATGGTTGACATTGTCAAAATAGACTCCTCACGTGAGCTCGTTTTTGCTCTTCATTCTCTTTGTATATGAGGAAAATATTCAGGAAAATAAATATCAGGGAATTATACCTACAATGGAATAAGCCTCACTTAAAAGGTCAGAGTTTGATGTTTTATTCCCTTTTTTGCCTTTTTAAAGATCTGATTCTTGAGGTTCTCTTTACTCTGAGAGAGAGCCACAAACAGACTTGAGCACTTTGAATTTGCTTTTCTATTGTAAGCTTGAGTAAGTTTTCCAAATCTTGAAAAGAAGGAAGAATTTAACATTTTCCCTATTATCCTCTTTGTTACTTTAAGTAGCTCCTTGCCTTGTTTACTGACTGCTGGAATTGCTGTTCAGAGGATCCTCACTCCCTGTCTTGCAATAAAGGGAGCCTGGACAGCCAAACCCCCTGGCCTGAGCTGTCTGATGTTCTGGAGCCACATTTCCTCACCTGCACAGTGCTGAGCCCCTCAGCTCCCACTGGATCCCCTCCTTTCCCTGCCCATTCCTGTTCAGCAGGCAGAGCCAATTTAGGGTTGTGTCAGCTTCAGGGGGAGGTGGAGATAATTGATGCCCAGGCAAAAATGCCCTAGATAGACATTTTTCAATTTGGAACCAGACAGGTGGGGACCTGAGTGTCCTGCTGATGCTGGCAGACCCACCTTGCCATCTTGCTGCTGCTAAAATATAAACACATTCAATTATGTATGCAAGAAATGGCACCTCATTTGTGTGCACACACAGACACACACACACAAACACTTCGGGCAAATCTGTCTGTGCACTTGAGATAGACCCTATTTGTCTCAGTCCTGGAAATAAACAGGTGATTTTCCTTGTAAATTCAGCTGTGAGTGGCGAGGCTTTGCTTAACTGAAAGTCAGAGCTCACAATGGATTATTTAAAAACTTGTAATTGTGGTGATACAACTCCTGTGCAGTAAGAGAGCTCCAGCACAATTGGGTTTGACAGCCAGGATCCAAAGGGTTTGAGGCTCCCAGGGAGCTCTGTACAAGAGGCTCCCATCGCTTCTGATTATGTTGTGTATCATGAAATCACTGCAAAAATACCATCCCTGAGGCAAGAACTGCACATTGTACACAAAAGGTTAGTGCTGTGTTGTACTGAGGATGGGGGATGCCTCAGGAATTACTGCAGAGGGAGCTGAGGGATAAATTCCTACATGTCACATCACTGCAGCACCTGTGGTAAATCCAAGCTGAATTGCTCCTCAGTGTGAACTGTTCTTCAGGTGTACAGGAGGGTGAGAATATGCTCATGGTCAGCAGCTGACACTTGTGTTTTCACCCCTCCTGAGCCTGCAGAAACATGTTTGTTTCCGTAAAGGTAGAAATAGAGAGGAAGCACTGCAGGCCACAGGCAAGGCTGAGTTTGGCTGCAGTTTCTCAGCTACGTGCTCAATTCATTAAGACTTCTAGGTGGGGTAAGACTGTGGGTTGGAGGGTGAAAGAATTCACCCTGTGTTTCTCAGAACTACCTGGGAGGTGCTCTGTGAGTTTGCCAGAGGATCTTTCCTGAAAGAACAGACTCTCTCCTTCCAGCTGTGAGAAAATAAGAGGTCTCAGAAAGGTTTGAGAGAGCCCAGAAAGGGGGAGGATTGAATCCTCTCCCAGCTCTTTTCTGGGCATGTGGTCATTCCTACACACCCTGCCTGTGCCTGCTTGCTGCCTGATGGGAACATTTCATTCCTTCCCTCCCAACACTGCTCCGTCAGCGTCCCTTGCAGCATCCTCTGCTGAGATGGAATCTCTGGTTCCTTAATAAATGAGTCTGGTCTCTCTGGTGATAAAATCTCCCTTTTTCCTACATCTTATCACTGCTGTTATGGAACAAAGAGATACCAGCAAGCTGTAGGTCAGTAAATGTTCTTTCATTCATCCATGGGATTTCAGCTCTCCACTTTTCTACCAGCTCTGCAGAGTGCTGTCAATTGCTGAGCCAAGGAGCGTCAGAGCTGGTGGAAAATGACCTTTTCCAAAGGCACTCCAAATTCTGAGCAAATCTTTGTGCTGATTGTTTAACCAGTCCCATACAGTGCACTTCTCTTCCCACCTGCCTCTTCCCATTCCTCCCTGAGTGTTTGTTCGTATTGAAACTGGGCTCTTCCAAAGTGGCTCATTTACCCACAGCCATCTTTTTTTCCCAGGAGCAGTTTAAGCTCTTGGTTTTTCTTTGTGATCCCCAAGTGTGGAGGGTAATTATCAAACACCTGTAGAAGGTGAAGGAAACTCCTGTCCCTGGATTTGTCTCATTTCATCTGGTTATTGGAGAGTTGACTGGAATGGAGAGTTCTGTGGGCTTTGAGGAGTAGCTGAGAAGGAACAGTAGGAAATACACAATCAGCTTTTCCATTTTCATAGATCTATCTATTTTAATGTCTGAAGAGATGAGAGTGATCATCTAGTCTAACCTCCAGCATGGTAATGACTGAAGGACACCATCCAATAATTTCTGCATCAAAGCACACTGAAAGGCACTTTGTACAGGACTTTGAACAACCCCACAATTAGGTGATTTAGAATGTGGTGGTGACTTGGACTGTCCTTCCACAGGAAAGGATACACCTGGAAAAAACTCCCCTCTGCAAAAAGTCCATGTTGAGACAGCCTACAATAGCTGGAAGGGAAAAATCCTGGCTTGTTCTTCTGTCAGGCAGGGAGGGAAATGAACAGCTGGAGTAGTCCTGGGTTTTCCTGGGCACCCACCCTTCCTGAGCACTGCGTGGAGCCAGCCTGGGGAGCCACGTGCCCTTGGTAATGCCTTTGGCAGGTCAGAGATGTGAGAAGGAAGGAAGCCACTGGGACACAGGCAAATGGAATGGGCAGATCTCCAGAGGCTCCAGTTACTGCCTCAGCACTGACAAACTGGGGAGGACCAAACCCCACGGAGCTTCCAGGGAGCTCTGCCTTGATCTGAGTCAGTAATGTGCTGGACAAGGCTGGCTCTGAAGATGTGCTGGACTGAAGGAACAGCCCTGCAGCCTCACTGTGGCCACTGCTTTAAAGCAAGAAGCATTTTAGTATGGGAGACTGGATGTAGTGTGGACACCATAAACCAGAAAATACTGTAAAATAAGGATTAGGCTGCTGATAATGAAAGTGAGAGGACTGGTGCTGCTGTATAAACAAAAAATCAGAAAATTCACTGGGAAGGTGTTGCTTTGGCTGAAAGATGTGTGGAGAACAAATTCAGAATTTGGAACAGACTGTGCTGTCTAAAACACTTCCAACTTGCCTTGAGAAATTTACCTGGTTTCCTCAGATTTCCTCAAAATTAGATGCTTAAAAATTTAAAGGTCAAAAATGCCCTTATGCTTTTCTGTTCAGCTAATAAAAATTTTTTAAATAAATCTTTTATTGCTTTAAATGTGGCTCAAAATCGAGGGATTGCACAGTAGCTTTCAAAGTGCAGCAGGAGCCCTGGAACCCTTTCCTTGTCAGCCCTGATGTGTGTGTGGACAGCTCTGATCCACCTCTGCTTGGCCTGGAGCCACAGGAATACTTGGCTGCCTGCGTTCACTCCTGGTTTCTACTCTGCTTCTTCCTGCAATGCAGGAGAGTTGAAGAAATAAAAGTTGTTAAGATTCAATGCAAACTACGAAGGATAACACTGCCAAACTCTTCGAAGAGTGAGGTTCCCTCGCTGCTCCCAGCAAGGGTTGGAAAACAGATGTTGGTGGGTTTGCCTTTGGGATCCTTTTGGAACCCTCCCATTCTCTCACCCATCCTTCTGCAGAGGAATTGTTCATTAATTTCAGTTTTAGGGGGGCTGGAGAAATACCTCACATGCACTGTGACCCTGCTGGCAAAATGTTACATGGATACATGGCCTGGGAAGGTGCACTCAAAACAGGAGGGGAGGAATTATAAAGATATTTATAAAAATTTCTACCTTTATTTCCTATTCAAGTTTTTTTTTCTGCCTCAAACATTTCAGCTTCAGTCCAAATAGCATTTAATTCACTGGGTAGTCTGGATTCATGGATGTTTGGATGGGTGATAGATGAATTTCCTGGCTCTGTTCTATATCTAGGTTCATAATTTGACCAGAATGTGGTTGTACAAAATGCCAGCAGAAGAGAAACCTTCCTAACAAACACACAGATACACTATTCCTACATCATGAGCTGAAATATATTTAGTATATAACTCTGCTCATTTTAATTAGGGGAATAGTTCATACAAACCAGAGAGAAAAAATAATTAATAGAAAAACTTTGTACAATTTGGTGATATCAGCTGCAGATCTTGAAAGGGTTTCCAAAGGGAGAAAGGCATCATTTTAGAAATGGGGAAATGAAGGTAGAAGAGTCAGGTGGCCAAGATTCCCTGGCAGGATTGGGAAGAGAACAGCTGCCTTGTGCAGTTTGGGAAAGCATCTCAATCTCAGCCCTCCTGAAGTTAACACTGCATCAGGCACCTGCATTGTCAAACAAGTGCTTTGGAGTTAGGAGAAAAACAAAACCCTGATCTGCTCAAGCTGATAGCAAAATTATTCTTCTTTCAATGGGAAGGTGATGTGGATGGAGGGACCCAAACATCTGCATCGGATTTTTCTGGCTGACAGTCCCATGAAATGTGGACAAAGTTTTGGTGGGTCAGAATATGCCCTCAAACTTCTACTGGCCTTTATTTTGGAGTCCAAATTCCCTGTCTCCAGTAGATTCTTTTGGAAAGCCTGTTTGATTCTTGTTTTAGTGCACATCAGGATGAGTTTTAGCCCTTAATACATAGCTTGTATCCCATGCAGAAAGCTCCCCATGCTGATGAGGGAACCAACCTCGGAGTAAAAATTCTGAGTGAGTGTAGTATTTTCTGCTGAATTTTCATAGTCTGATTCAAACTGCCCTGGTCTTATATTACCTTTGAAATATTTAATTTACCCACCAGGTGCAGTTTTCATGGAAGCACATGATACATGTAGTAGTAGTAGTGGAAAGAGAGCAACACATAATTCATTTCAAAATCCTTTTTAATGTTGAGCTTTCTACTCCTATTAGGTAATGATTAATAGACACAGGGGGGAAACATGAGCTTTTGTTATTTTCATCTGAATGTTAAGAGGTGCTTCGTGAAAACCATAATTTCAGGGACTGCTTTGTCATGGATGGTAGTTTGTTATGCTGATGGATTGTTTTAATTAGTCAGTAAAACACTATTTATGATGAAACATTTGACACTTAGAAAATTTGATCCTTTTTAGTTGCAACATTATATGACCAACCTCTCCTAACAGAAATTGCCTGAAACATAGTTGGAAATTACATTTTATGAGGTTACCTTGAAAATTAACATCTGCAATATTAATTTTATAGGTGTAAAGAAACCCATTCAGTCATAAACTGTAACAATAAATAATCATAAAGGAAAAAAATAATTGTTTCTGGGATGCAAAAAACCAGGAGACAGGCCCAGAGAGAGATCCCACCTTGTAGAACTCTATTCTTCTTGTTCTGAGAGTAAAGAAAGCAGGATTTCTGGCAATAGTATTTCTCATCTCTCTCACTGAGGACTGCACAGTGCCATTACTGTGCAGTGCTGAGGTGCAGAAGCCACAGAACATGCTGAGCTCTCAGGTGAAGCCTCACACTCCCAGCTGGCCTCAGACAACATCCCCAGGAACCTCCATCCCTCCAAACCAGGAGTTAACCCATCCCCAGCCTTCCTTCTCCTCCCCTCCCAGCCCCAGCCTCCTGCTGTGGGAAGGTGGTGCCCGGAGGAAACCTCAGGGAGGAAAAATGCCAGTAAAGATGAACAGTTTCATGCAGGAGGAACAGAGGGGTGCGTGTTCCACCTCGGGATGCAGAGGGACTGGGCATTGTCTGCTCTTTGGGGCTCGATTCTCCTTTCTCCTTTCTCTCCATGTGCTCTCACAACAGTGTGGAACTGACTGAACAGAAATGAAAGCCAGAGGATTCATGTTGTTCATTATGCAGGAAAAAGAAACTTATTTCCCTGCACAGCTGTGACTTAGTCCCAGGGCTCCTGTTAACTCCTGTCCCGAGTAAATCCCAAGGCTCCAGGCGCTGATCAGTTCTGGTCACTATGGCTGAATATTCCCTGCAAAACTCTTCTTCCAAGGAGAGATTTCCCTTCCAAAGCACTTTCCTTTCTAGCTGTGCCTGCTGGAAAGTTCTGCTGAGGTGGCACTGACTTTTAAAACACAAATGACAGTGGGATGGGATGGGATGGGATGGGATGGGAAGAATAGAATAGAATAGAATAGAATAGAATAGAATAGAATAGAATAGAATAGAAATGCCCTTGAACTCAGGTTTATCTTCACAGCTCTCTTGATTACATTCCTTCACACACTGGAACTTCTCCTATCCCTGAACTTCTTTAGCTGGCTGCATTACAGCCAAATAGTGCAGCACATACCTGTCCTACAGCTTGTAATGATTAATGATGTGGTTGATGCCAGTAATCCAAGTCACACTGATTTGAGAATGGAAGAGCATAAACTTCAAGGTGTAAACTACCCAGCGCTGTGGCAGTTCCCAAATGTTTGGAAATGCTGGGCTGTTTAACACCAGATTCTCTATTCATGTCCCAAATTCTACAGCTGCTCATATCCACCACCCTAAAGAGTTTCCAAGCTTGTCCTGCTCATAGAGTGACACATGAAATATTCTGGGCTGTGCTTTTCCTTCCTGCCCACATCTCATTAACATCTGTCTCTTCATTAGCTGCCATCCTCTGTCTGGGGAGTGCAGCTGCAAGGCTGGCTGGGCTGGGCTCTACTGCAACGAGACGTGTCCCGTGGGCTACTACGGCGAGGGCTGCCAGGTGCCCTGTCCCTGCCACAACGGGGCCGACTGTGACAGCATCACTGGCAGCTGCATCTGCGCCCCAGGCTTCATGGTGAGTGGGGCTGGGCGTGGGGAGGCCTTGCACAAAGTGGCTGTGAAAAATGAAAGAGGGGTTTAATCTGATTTGAAATAATATTTGCATCGAGGCAGCCAAGCATGTGTAATTTTCACCCATTCTGTGTAAGCCCACACTGCTGTCCTCTGGGCAGTGTCAATCTGTGGCTGCTGGTTGTTTAGTTAACATATCTGTTCTACTTTATTACTGTCATAAAGGTAAAGATAAAGATATGCTTTCCCATAGTATATTCTAAGTCAAGACATAACAAAAAAGATGTCAGATTATTGTCTGCCTGGAAGAGCAGAGAAAGAATTCTCATGGCCATTCAGCATGTTCCTTGTCAGTCACACTGTGATTTTAATAGATGAAGATATTTTAAAATGTTACAAATGATAGAGCAATTTATGTCTTTTCTGAGCCTGTGTGGCAGGTGTCTTTTACCGAGCATCAGGAAGAGCTTCAGACATTCTGAGGTAAACAAGCATTGCATTTTATAGTTGAGATATAAAATGGCTGAAGAAACCAGCCAAGATGAAAACATCAAAACTTCAGAGTTAACAATTGCCAGGCTGCAGCAGAAAGTATTGGGACATGGATCCAGGAGTCCAGTCCTGCTAAGGCTGGGCAGAATGGAATTCCTTGCCAGGAGTTCCCTGGTTATCTGTATATGAAGCTCCTCCTCTTCACAGAGGAGAAATGCAGGCTGTATTTAAGAAACAATACTTCCTAAAGGAAAAAAAAAAATGCTTTAAAGAGAGAATTCCATCAAACTTCACAAAAAGTTGGCTTTCTCTGTCCTTCATTCTAGGAGCACACCACAGAGGAGAAATGCAGGCTGTGTTTAAGAAACAATACTTCCTAAAAGAAAAAAAAATGTTTTAAACAGAGAATTCCATCAAACTTCACAAAAAGTTGGCTTTCTCTATCCTTCTTTCTACAATCTGTCCCCACAGGCCTGTCTATATTTTCTGTACTATTTTAACAATTATGAGTTATAATTACCATGTTCACTAGAAATCAAGGGGCAGGCTGCACAGCTGGGATGGATCCGTAGTGGGGAGGTCCTGTATGAGATTAGTGGGATGCCAAAGATTTTTTTGCCTCTCTTCATTCTAATTCCACACCTGAGCTTGTGATCTCCAACTGGCATCAGCAGAGCTGTGCAATTTCCAGGAGTTGTCTCGATGCCAGGTGTTAACAGATTTATTTAGGTGTGAGGGGCTGGACTCAAAAGCATCTGTGCAAGATAATGGTACTTAGAGATGGGGGCAGGGTGGGGGGTGGTGGGGGAAGGTCTCAGGTTTGATTCCCAACTCCACAAACAGAAAAGAATTTATCTTCTCTATACAGTAGTTAAAACACAAGTACAGGAAGGAAGAAGGCAGCAGCATGTTAGTAACAGCTACAAAATAAAAAGATGCCAAGATCCTCCTTCTTATTAGGAATGCTGTCCAAATTTGCAGCACAAAAGCATTTAGGGACCCTTTACTGTACACATTTTAAAAAAGCATACCTTGTCCAATATACATTGCCCCAAGGCAGCATTAGTGGAGGCAGAAAGCCTGGGAAGTTCCTATTGCATTGCTTCAAAATAATATTTAATCTCATAATAAAGAGCTTTCTTGCATTGACATTTAAACAGCTTGGTTATTGAGGATAGCTCTATAATCACTGAAGCATATTTAGGCATTAGTATCATTGCTCTCACATAATATACTATAATCTCTGGCAATTAGTCCATGAGGGGAAGTAAAGCCTTGAAATTGCTAATTTATTGCCTCTGAAGCATATTTGTCATTCGTGTGCATGCCAGATGAGCTGCAATGGTTCTTTCAAGTGCTGCAGAACACAGGCTGTGCAGAAAAGTTGCTGGGAACCTTCCCCTCCCACCCCAGGGTGTTATCCTGCCAGGATGCTCCGGGCAGGGAGGAGTGAGCTACAAAAGGTTGTGGGGCCAGAACCAGGCTGGAAGTGCCTTATCCCAATGACACACCCCAAGCCAGGCTTTCCCTTCAGATATTCCTGCCTGGCTCTTGCTGAGGCAGCAGGGGAGCTTTGCCTGGGGGTTGAGCTTTGCCCTTGAATTGGGCGAGGCGGTCCTGAGCTCAGGATGTGTCCTCTGGCAGAGCTGGGCACAGCTAATTATTCACAAAAGCCAGAAATGAATCCCTCTTGCTTTTTCAAGTATGAGGCTTGGCTGAGGCAGCCACACGGGCAGGAATTTTGCCACATAATTGGAAAGAATAAAACCAGGAGCAACGTCTTACATTTTAGAGCAATGTTTGATCTACACATGACACTACGGCAGAGCAGTCTGAGGGGCTGCTCAGGGAGGGGGAAAGGAAGGGAAAATGGAGGGAGAGAGGATATAACTGCTGAATTCATCTGCAAAGGCAGAGGGGTTGGACCCACAGGACTTTGGGATTACTGGCTGCCTGGAATATGCAGTGCCCAAGGAAGGACAGTGTTTTCCTGACAAAGCACTCCTCCTGCCCACTCCTCCAGCACAGATGGTGGGTTTTTAACTCACCCTGCCTGTGTCAGGGCAGCTGGGCTGGGTTTCAGGATGAATCATCTGCTCTCGTAGCCAAAACAGGGACATTTTGTTGGGATGCAGAACAAGCCATTAAAAACACAAAGCATCTGGTCACCTTTATTAAATGTATTAAGTGAAAAGGCAGCCATCCCATAGGCTGCCATGTACGTGAGGAGAACACTTAATTGTTGAAAATCTAAGAAGATGCAAGTTGTAAAATAAAAATGTATATGGTAGCTTAAAGAAAATACATTATTTATTAGCTGTGACATTTCCAAAAATTAAAATGCCCAAGCTAAATAGTGGTGAGCTTGCAGTTTAGGATAGAGTTTCAAAACATATTCTGTCTTATTTTTTCTGCAAATGTTTTGGGTTGGACTCAAGAGCAGATTTGCATCTGTCTGTCTCCAAACCCAAATGACAGTGTTGTAAAGCTGTTATTGGGTATCAGGGTATTTGTGTGGGGTGCTGCTGGGATCCCCTGGGGATGGCTCTGTTTTACCTCTGTGGGTTCTGAACCACCTTGCAGACCTGGGTGTGGATTTGGCTGAGGCATCCACAGCCCAAACCAGGCAGTTCTTGGAGGCAGCACACAGGGCAATGAAAACAGGATAACGGTAGAGGAGACACAATAAAATCCTCCCCAAAATCACAGACCTACTCCCCATTGCTCCACAGGACTGTTGGGAATGCTTTGCTTCCTGCATCCCACTTGTAAAGGAGGATAAAGGCTGTGTCAGTTTAACTCAGATGATTGCAGGGAATCATCATTACAAGCACACCAAGAGGGCACTTCCCTCCAACTGGGACTTTTAACATATTTGAGGGTTTCCTCTTAGCACTGAAGTGATGAATTGCCAAAATGCTCTTCTGAAGAATGGTTCTGTAAAGCTGTTCTGCTGCCATCTCGTTTGTGACCAGAAGGAACCTGGCAAACACACACAGGGAGTGCACAGATCAGCCCTAAAAGCACCAGGGGAGAGTCTTGAATGGTAGAAATTGGATCCTCGCTCCCATGTGGAAATGGCTGCTGCTTGCAATAAATTATCTGGATGCAATTATGGGGATGGTGAGAGGAGTTATACTAACTTGTACCTCCCCCTCCTTCCAAATTCTCCTCCAACGTGTTCTCCTATAAGTCCACTGAACTCAGGTGTGCAGGAGGGACATAAAAGAAAGCAGGACTTGCCATGTCCTCTCTCTCTTCTTTTGTTTTTGGTTCATTGAATTTTATTCCTGTAATTCAATAAACATGGTAGAGAAGGCCAGAGGATATGAATTAAATATGACAGGAGACCACAGGAATCCTGACCTTGTGTCTCACAAGGAAATCTTGAAACCAACCCCCTGCACGTACCTATCAGCATTTTAGCTGCTGAAATCATTATAAATGCTATTTAGATACAAGTAACCTCACCCTCTCCATTGCACAGCTAATTGCAGCTTCCCTGAAAAGCAGTGGCTATCTAGAGACCTCATCCCGTGCTATGCCTTTGTTTCTTTATGGATGCTTTGTTTTCTTCTTTTGAAAAATGGGTTTAACTTCAAATGCTTGCATTCTGTGTGTTGTGGCAAGGAGAGATGTAGTTAAAACATTTCTCAGCCCAAGACACTCCGAGAAAACTTTGAACACTTCTCTGTGGAATGTGTGGTCAGCTTGTACTTCGGCGGGCACTTAGGTCTATATTTCACATCCAGATGACAGAACTTATATTACTTTAAAGAGTTCATCTATTTATGCTGCTATTTTTTGAAGACCTGTCTGCTTTTATTGAACCCTGCATGCTGGCAAGCAGAGCAAGCACTTCATCACCAAAATGAAAGAATCCATTCTGACATTTCTCTATTTCTTCACTATATTGGTAGATCCCACACAAGCCAATCACATGCTGCAAAGTATGAAAACTACAGCAGTGGTGATCTCTTACTAGAAGAGTTTTCAGTTTTTGGAATGACTTTTGGATTCCCTAAAGCTTTCCAAGGTTTATCCCAGTGCTGTCCATCTATGGGTGTTTGCATCTTCTGTTTGCATTGTATCAAAATTGCATTTTTAAAGCACAATTAATGCCTTTCAAATATATCCTTATAGAGGTGCTTATGTGTATGGAACTCTGGCTGGGCTCAGTGGGAATCTGGGCACTTAAGTACTGAGACACAGGCTTCATTTGGGTCTGTAAGTCCATAATTTTGTCTGGCATGCCTGAATTTCTCAACATGATGCTTTCTCTACCATAGGGGTACAAATTGTTCCCAGGGTTTACATCAGAGTAAAACTTTACAACCTACCTGCACATTGAGTAAAAGTCAGCCCCTGTAGCACACAATGAACAGCTCGAGCACTTAGTAAAAATAAGTATAAATTATAGTGCTGTAAAGCTATTCAAATGCACAGCAAATGCACACCAAATTTTGCAATGGATAATCTCTTGGTCAGTACAAACACCCACACACAGACTCA